CACTAGTGGAGGAAGGCAGGCACATCAAAGAGGCAGTGCACCCCTTCCTGAGAAAGTATATGACAGGCAGGTGGCTTATCATTGATATCCATCTCCAGTGACTTCCATGTGCATCCGTGTACCTGATTTCTATAATCAGGTATATTTTGTGCTAGGTGAAGCAGCTGAATAAAAAAAACAAAACCCAAAACACGACCAATCTTTTTAACTACTTATATTTTCTCATTCAGTTCCCAAAGTTTGGAACCTGAGAATGGGGGAGGTGTTTGCATGGAATTGGAGGAATGCATGTCCTTTAGAGTTTTCAGCAGCAGGAGAGGGATAATTTTCAGGACCTGGTGCTGAGGAAGTGCCTAGGCTGTTGTTTTATTGAAAATCATTAAAACAAAAGTTTGCTACAGTTTCAATAGGCAGTAAGGAATTTATAAATGGGAAGTGAAAACCTAAACTATTTAATTTCATTATAGTTGACTAATGTTGTCAAAAGTATATCTGAATCAAGGTGAGTTGAAACAAGCTTTTTACCATCCCGTGAAGGCCACTGAATTTATCATTGTTGCACTTTCATTTTTCTAATAATAATAATAATAATAATAAATGGATTACTTAAAATTTTTCATGTTTGTATTTTTATTCAAAGGGAGAATGAAACTTCAGGAAACATGAAGAAGGCAAAGCAATTACTTGGGAAATTGCATATAAATTTTTTTTATTAAAATACCAGTGTAGCAGTACTGTGTGTTTGCTCTTTGCAAACACATGTTTTTATTTTGTCTGAATGTTGTGACTTGCATATTTTTGTATGCAAAAGTAGTATAGAATATGTACGGAAGATAGCTCTCCAGCCTAATACAAATTCATTGGGTGACGGGTTATCAGTTACCCGGTTTTCATTTTCATTTTGGGTATTACTACATGAGCTGGCTTTCTAGGTTGTGTCTTTTCCTAGGTGGTATATACATTACATACATATGCAGAGCCTTAGATTAAGATGTAGCAGACTGTGGAATGAATAATACCTGCTGACTCTTGTAAAAAGAGATGGTGAGCTTCTGGGTTACTTCCTGTGCATGCTGTACCTCTTCCACCAATCTTCTGTTGGAATGGTTTTCAGGGATTTGCTATGGAAACTGTGGAGACACCTCTCTGTCCAGCTGACTGAAACTACTGCACATGTTCATTACATGCATAACCACATGTAGTCTGCTCTGGATACTTTTGGACAGTTCTGTGTGGTTTACAGGTGTTTTACAACCCAACAGGCAGACAGATACTGTTGCAGGGCATCAGTCACACTCTCTATGTGTTCATGCTTAGATAGTCTGCACATGCTGTCTAACTCTGATATGACTCTCAGAATACCAGATTTATCAAGTTTATACAATTATAGTGAGATGGCAGATGCATGCCTATTTCTGTGTAGGAATTCTTTGATACGGCTCACTGCTTCTCAGACTTAGTGAGAATTTCTGACCATTAATTATAGTGGTTTTCCAGAAATGAGCAAGGAATGTATTGAAGATCAGAAGGCAGGGTTTTGTCTTTCAGTTCATCAGATGTTTACCTTCCAAACTTTAGGAGCAAGTCTTCATCTTTTTGTGTGTTTATATTGAAGCTGACTTTTATGCAGTCAGGTCTACTTTTGATTGCTATTTTGTTAATTTATAAAGTTTGTTGTTGATTTACTTTTTTTCTTTTAAGCTATTTGAGCTGGAACTCAAAGGAATGTTATCACAAATGAGTTGATCTTAGAGCTGACTACTAAAATCATTGACTGTTAACCCAGCACTGCCAAGCTCTCACTAAACCATGTTCCTAAGTGCTACAGGTGAATTTGGTTGAATTTCAAAATTATTTCAGCCACCTTGAAGCAGAATTTTTCAGCTAATTAATTTGCCTGGATTCCCTTCAGTACATTTAGGATTATTAAAAAAAAAAACCAACCAAATACATGTAATACATTAAAGGCAAACTATCACCAGGCTCTTATTTAATACAATTAATTGGGAGTAGCTGCTGTGACTCAATGAATCAGCAATAGTTAGAGATACTGGATGGTAAGACAAAGTGTAATTTTTTCATATGATGGTGTGAAGAACAACTGTACTTCTGTTTTTCTAAATGATTGATGTGCATAGTACTTTGCATAATCTTCTTAAATGAAGAACGTTGGTTCCATGAAGTAGTCATTACTCTCTGTGGTATTATTGAACATGAATTTTGAATGAGTTGCAGCATAAAGCTTCCAGATACTGATATCAATTAAATAAAAGTCAGGAAGAGCCAAAGGTCATATTATTTCTGTAATATTGACTCCTGTGGCTTGTGTACAATGTTTCTGGTAGCTAGTTAAGGGGTCATATCTACAGACTCCCCATACATGGAATGAAAAAACAAGGAGGCATATAAAGCAATGCTTACTGTTTAGATGTGGAAGTAGTGAGTTCTGTTTAATATACATGGGATAATCTAAGGGCGGCTGCTAGATGCAATGAAAATCATGGTATTTCCTAACCTTGCATAGTATTCCTATAATAGTGTTTTGTCCTGGGGTGACTTTATGATACTGGTGTCCCCAGTCGTCTGGTTTATGTTATATATTAAGTTCTGCACCTTTAAGACTGGCTTTGAGAGCAAGAGAGGGGGAAGAAGAAGCGCGCAGTTTGTGTTAAAGAAAAACATCACTCCCACACATCCCGCTCCTGGACTGTGGTGTCTGCAGCACGGACAGACAGCGGGACAGAGC